TGGGCCGGGCTCTGCAGGCTGCGGCGCGAGCGGGACCCGGAGGCGGCGGTAAGTGAGCTGGAGGTGGGAGCGGGGCCGCGTGTGCGCGGGATCCCGGCCTCGGGGAAACCTGGGCCGGGCTCGAGAGGCTGGGGCGTCGCAGGTGCAGAAGCGTCTGTTCTCCGAGCAGGGCGGTGTGCGGCGATCGCCGCCCGGCGCGCGGGTCCCGGGCTGGAAGGTGCGCGGTGGACGCCGTCTGCCCGCTGCGCCCAGCCGGGAAGGCGTGTGGAACATATGGTGGGGGTTCCTGGGGAACCCGCGTCGGGGTGGGTGAAGAAGAAATTGCCGGAATCTCCTTAAGGGGGAGCGATTGGCCACCTTCCCACCGCGACCCTCAGAGTCCAGTGACAGCTGGGACTGAGCCAGGGTTCCACTTGAACCCAAAGGGAGCATCTCCGTCCGCGTCCTACTCTTTTTCACGGGTTCAGACCATCCCTTGAAGGAAAGGGATTTGGTCTCGCCCCTCTCTTACCCCTCCGCACCTAGACGGGTCTCCGGTGGAATACCCCGCCCCACGTTGAGCACACATCCTGGCTTTCCAAGGGACTTTTTAAAGTTGCATCACTATTTGGTCTCTGGACAGGTAGTTGGCTGTCAGGTTGGAGTTGGCTACACAGCATTAAAAGACACACGTACACCTGCATATTTATTATGTGTGTACCCCTTCAACTCAAGGAAGCAGTGTCCTTCCAAAGCAGCTCAAAACACACTGGGGAGATTTTGGTTCTCAAACTTGGCCACGTTGCAGAGAGTTCTGCAAAACACGGATCACCTGCAGAGACCCTGATTAGATTGGTCCAAGACTGCCTGGACCATGGTTTTGTGAAAGCCCAGGTGATTGTAATGTGCAGCCAAGTTGCGAACCGTTGCAAAACAACCTTTGCAAAAGCACCCACAGCTGCTTTTTCAACTGAAGAAGCTCAGCCCTGATGGAAAGTCCTGTCAGGCGCCCTTGGCCTCTCTGCTTCTCTGAGCCTCTGCTCCCCCTGAAGAGACTGTGGGTGCTTTCCAGTTGGACTGGAGAAAGGGCCTTTTTCTGGAGTTTCTTTTGTTTCTACTTTTCTGTTGACAATAATTATTGCCAGGACACTTTCTGCCTAGGAGGTGGTAGTGTAGGCAGTAAAGTCCTTGCAGAGGTCAAGATTATAATCCAGGGTTGACCTGTTGGGGTAAACCTAGTGGTAGTTCAGTTTGTCCTATTTGAAAAGGATTTCATTTTAAAAGGAAGAAAAGCACGTTATGGATCTGTGAGCTGTCTAGACCACCTGCCACAGATGATGATTTTTATATCGATGTGGGGAATTTTCCTTTAAGAAAGCAAGCTAGCAAGATCATTAGAGTTTTGTGACTGGTATTGTGTTAATATGTGTGTATAGGTGGGTTAAACTCATTCCTGATGTGTGATGAAGCTCTGCAGATGTAACAGTGTTTCTTCTTGATAGAATAATATCAGTTAAGGAATTAGGGCTTTATAGTAAGTAGCTTGGGACATTTTAGGTGAGCCCTTAACCACCTGTCCAATGATTTTAAAAATTTTAGGGAAAAAAAAAAATTTAGGGAAATGGGACTAAGGAAAGACTGAATCTGTACATATTGACTGAATTTATTCTTAGGTTTTATTAAAGTGTGTCTTTAATGTCTGAGTGATCAGACATGATACATTCTCCTGGGATCTTAGTTAATTCACTGTTTTACCCATGATGGAAAGTTTTTATTGGGCTCTCACCAGAACGGTGACCTGATCACAAACCAGTGGATTTCATTTTTTTTGGCCGTTAGTCTCCTACATTGCATTTTTACTAGTAGTGCAGTGACATACTTTCAAGAGAATGCTCTCCTGAGTTGGAAGAATGTCTGTTCGTTTCTAGCCCCTAATGCGATTCAAAGGAACATTCACTTTGAAACAGAAAAAAACTGTATATCTGCTCAATTGGTTTTTTTCTTCCCACTGTCCACTACCAGATCCTGCCTGTCACTGTGTTCAATTGCTGGACATGGCTGCCGTGTGGGAGTCTTAATTGTGTTGGCCGGAGAAAGGAGGTTATGTGGAGTGCATGGTCTCATGGGGTGGCCCCTGACCCAAATCATCAACTTTGGGTAATAAGACCATATGGAGGTTCTCCTTCTGTTGATTTTTATTTATTTTTTTTTTGTTAAACCAGGCCAGTGAACGATGCTGTGCTGTATTGAATGGTTTGATAACTTGTGAATCTCGGTCTGCATTTTGGGGAATAGGTTTGTTGGGGATGTTACTGTACTGGTGTCTGAAAACAGCAGTTGTTACACTGCAAATATAATACTAAATGCTGGCAAATAAAGAAAAAGTATATAAGGGACTTGCACAGATTTATTGAAACATTTGTCACTTGGGAAAGCAGTTAAATATTTTAAAGGGAATAGAAGAAAATAAGTCAACAGGAAAAAAAAGGGAGCTAGTGACTTCATTAGCAGAAGGTATATTCGGAGGAGTGAGCTTGGATATGTTTTGTATTCTGTTGGCTTCCTTCCTCCACCCTCTTCATTTAAGTAGGTAGCATGGGGCAAAGGGTGGTTAAAGAAATTTAATGGCAGTGCAAAAAAACAAAAAGGAATTTAATGGCCTCCTTAACTCTTTTCCCCCTGAAACTCATTTATCTAAGAGATGCCATTGACCTTTTTAAAAAACAGAGCTGATTGCGTGATTTTCCTTTTCTTTTCCTCTTGTGATTCTGACACTAAAGGGCAGTGAAATGGCTGAGAGGTTGGCATCAGAGGACAAATACAAAGTTCAAGGGGAACTGAAGATTGGGTAATTTCCCCTGACCGAGTGCTTAATATTTTATTCTTTCATGTGACATTGCTGTTATCAGGAAACAAATTATGACAAGAAAACCCTGGAAATGGAAAAGAAAAAAAAAAAAAGGATTTGCTGGGAGTAGCACTCGGGGTGACTGGGCTTCACCTCAGGGAAATGTTACTGGTTTTTTCATTTAAACACCCTATGCCAACCTGCTATACCTACTTCTTCCTGATCTGTTTCCATTCTCCCAAACCAATAGCCCAGGGAGAGAGAAGGCTTCATCTTAAATTCACATCAAGGCTTCGTTTTTCATTTTAAAATTTACTCATTTAGGTGATGGCACACGGGTGACTTGGTGATGGGAAACCCGCGGGGATTACAATTGAAATGGCAAAAAAAAGGTACAAAATGAAGTAAAAATAAACTGTTACCAAAAAAAAAATTTACTCATTTAACAAACTTAAAAAAACTCTATTGGCAGCTCTCTAGTCCTCAGAGGGTTCTTGATAAACAGGCAACAGCCCCTGACTTGAGGAGCCTGATGTTCGGCGGGGGTTACAGAGAGAGTTGGGGATTCCTACACAGAAGTCCTCCCATTAATCCTGGAAACGTGCGTAGCACCAAATCCTATATATATTTTCCTGTATGTACATTACTGTGATAAAGTTTAATTTATAAATTAGGCACATAAAAGATGAAAGAACAAATAAGAGAACAATTACAACCATAGACTGTAATAAAATGTATGTGAGTACAATCTCTCAAAATAGATTACTGTAGGTAATGCTCTTGGAATACAGTTGATGGCGGTAACTGAAGCAGCTGAAAGCAAAACGGTGGATAAGGAGTCTACCATAATCGTGAGGGACAGACTCGGGGCTAGGGGGAGGGCCAGCCAGGTACCACCTGGATAGTTACCTCCTCAATCCATTGACACTGAGCACAGTGTCAATGAAATAAAATTTCATTTTATTAGGTGCCTATGTCAAGTTTTAAATAACTGATTGCAGATGCTTTTCTGATGGAAGAGTGGGCAGAGTTTGTGCATAGACCCTGCAGAGGGGTAGGGAGGAGTGAAGAAAGGAGGCCCAGTTCTGGCAAATGCATTAGCCAAGCTGCACAGGGAAATTACCTGGAGTTAGGAAACTGGTGGGGAATGTGGCTGGCTCCATTTTTGGCATGTGGTAACTGGCCGACGACACTTAGTTATGGCTACATCTGCAGCAGCTGGAGGAGGGGACAGAGCATCGTGTGAGAGCCGCAGTGGCTGCCACACTTCAGAGCAAGTGCTGTGGTCCTTGTCTGAAACTCCAGCCAGAGGGTGGACGTTCATTCGTTATCATGCTGTTGGTACTTTAGCTCAGGTTTCCTCGGACAGGCTGAAAACTGGACTCCATACTGTTCTCCCATGGACAGGTGGTTTCCAAATAGCTGACCCAGAGGGCTGTTAACCCCAGGGTTGGAGCGTGGTTACCATTTGTTTACTGGCCAACTTCAAGGGGCCAGGCAGCATGCTAGCCCTTTTCCACTTCTCTGAAACCTGTTCTGAGAGGCAGGTGGCCTTGGACTCATTTCATAGGTGAAGAAACTGAGACCAGAATGCCATGGGGGAGAATCAGGTGCAGTCTGGAGACTCGGGGAAGGTGAAAGAATTCACCAGAGACAGTGGAGAACAGAACAGGAGGGTTGATTGAAACATACTCTAAGAGAAGCAGAGGGCAAGACAGGAGAATGTCTGCTCCACAGAGTGAACCCACGGCTCTCTGGGCTCCAGACATCAGTGACTGGTTGGGGTGACGAGGGTGGGCCATATCCTGGATTAATCTGCGTTAGGATGGAGAATCATTAGTTCTTCAGATCAGCTTAGTGTCCAGGCTCCCACGGGAGTTCCATCTACTTCCTTTATCCATTCAAGCCTGCTAGTCAAGGAAAGGGGGATGAGTTTTTACACTTAGCAATGATACTGATAGGGGATGAGACTGGAAAGGCTGGAGGCGACACTGCAAGGTCAGGAAGCTATTCACACAGGGAGGTGGGGGTGGAAGGGATTAGTTTAGGCCCTTGACCAGGTTGTGGAGGCCGGGACCCTCAGGTTTCAACACCCAGATCAGGAGGCACAATACCCGGACAAGTGTCAGACTGTGGCAGGGAGTGTCAGGAGCACATTCCTAGAGGTGGAAGATGCGGGGATTGAAGAACTAACCATCTACCCACAAAGAAGCGCCCCTCC